CCATAGATTTTGAGATTTGTAATAATCACATACTTTTTATTTCCTAAAACATTTTTTTTCTCAAATCGAATATTTTTTATCTAATCTTTAAATCATCATTGATATCAGGCCTCTTGAAGCATGTGTTTAAAATGTCGTTATGTATTCTACCAGCAAATAACATAAATCAGAGTTTTGTACAAGCTCCTAGGAAGTTTTTTATTCAACGCTGACTGAACGAATTTATTTTTAATCTGTTATTCGTGGCGGAAAACTTTGGCCAAGATTTTTTGACAGCTATCAACTTTTATAATACTTGCAATTATCAATTGTTTCATCTGAGAGCGCATAAACTGTGAGCTAGTATCTGAAGATTGTCACTGTTTACCTTTTCCAGTGAAAAATTCACTACACTTATAGAACAGCTATCCATAGTGAACAATAAAAATTCTTTGGATGTATTCAAATTTTTCTCGTGTATGAGAAATTAGTAGTGAATTTTCACCATCATTAACATTTCATTACATTTATTTAGGTAAAGCAATTAGTAACGTGCAACTCTGTGATTACGAAATTTTTTATTCATTCAATGTGTATATGTGTATGAGTGTGTCTGAAGGATATGATTGTTTGGTCAATTTTTTTCAAACAGTTAGGGCGACAGTTGTCAAACTATTCATTTATAACAATGCAAGTTTCATGAAATTTAGCATTAGCTGAAATAACTATTTTGCATACTGAAATTTCTTTATTTTCAATATTATTATGAAACAATGATTATTGTTTCTATAGTTTGTTCAACGTAATCATATTGAACACTGAATAGAAAAAGTTACGAAAAGACGAAGGCGAAGAAGAGAAAATGACAGTTTAATGAAGGCATGATTCAAATAGTAGACAAATTTATGCAAGAGAAATTTACAATGAAAATATTTCTAAAAGCAGACTGCGTGGTAAAAATGTCTCATTGATACTCTATTAAAATAATCTCCATTATTTACTTATGTCCGTTACCCCTCGTGGAGCATACTCCAAGACATAATTTTTTCACTCAACTTCGTCTTGGACCCTTCTTTTCAAGTGCTTTTCATTCTTGACATACCCGCGTCCGATTCCAGTTCATGGTTTTCCTTTTCTCTCTTTGGATTGAGGACTAAAAGTTCGTGTATGCCTTGCGACACAGTTTTGTGACTACCTATCCAGCTGAGTCCTAGTTGTCCATTGTTTCCCGCAATTTGGCGGGAGTAACTATGACTCTCTTAAGGTATCCAAACGCCTCGTCATCTAATTGAATTGGTATATTAGGTGACGCGCATAAATGGAGCCTTCTGGGGGTTGTGGTGGCGGCTACCTCTCCGTGATCCTGCCAGGCGACGTGGCGTTGTTTACAGCGCTGCGGCTAAAAGCCGTCCCGAACGCTTAGGATACCGTGCCTGGTATGGTCCAGAATAATGGTACGTGTTCATGCTCACATGGCTGTGGATGCGTTTAACCAATCTGGAGGATTAGGACTTGACGTCTCTAAGTCTAAATCCCGTCCTTCGAGCGTAGGTAAATTCCGATAATGATTTGAGGACTTGTCCTCTATCATTCCGTAGTAGCAAATACCTTGAAAGGGATGTGGCTTTCTAGGATGATTGAAGTTGGCCCTAGTCGTTCTGTCTGGGGAAGCAGCCGTAGAGATCCTGGACTACTGACGCCGATCCTATGTGGTTATCCCGAACACTCCGAACCTCGGTGTATAGTGTGAACTGGTGTCGAGGCCCCTGAAACAAGGGTCTCAAGTTGGGTTATGTGATCCAATGCGAAAAGGGTACTGGAAGCCAATGATGTCTGCCCACTTCTGTGGGATTAACCCAGCTCGGCTGAGTGCTTGCACTTAGCTGAGTCCATGACATCTTCCTCATGTGAGTGTGTGCGTTCCGGCTGACCTTGTGGGACAAAGTCGATCTTTAGCTTCATGTTGGGTCTGAGGGCTCCGGTCGATTGTATAAGCGCAAGGCAGTTGGAAGCCAGACGGTTTGAATGGCTGCTGGTTAGTGCACTGCTAGGTGGCTCGGTAATCCGTTCAGGGTGCCAGGTCCAGCGGGGAGAGCCCGCCTTGCCGCCCTTGCTGACTGAAGATTCGGGTTAGTGGATTGGTGGAGGGATTTTGTTGATTCATAAGTTCCCGAACGAAGGCCACTGTTCATGTGCTTGCTTTTCGGACGTCCGACCTGCCTGCAGGCCGAACTGGACAACATGTATGTTCCCGATTGAGGCAAGGGTGATTACTAAACGGCTAAAGCGAAAGTTCTTGTGTTGCCTAAAAAGCAGCGATGCGCATGTGCAGCGGGCTTGTCGGTTAACCAAGATTCCCTCCAGATGTTGACGTTTATGTAATCTAGTCAACTAAACATTCCGATGATACCCATACTGAAGACCAAAGAAGCAGATTTCCTATTAATAAAGCTTGACTTAACCAGCTATTAGGAAGAAAATAAAAATTATTTTTCTAAGCGGTCGGATGGAAATAGATTTCACATTAACTCGTTAATGATCACATCAGATTCAACCCAGGACAATAATAATTGAAAACTTTGTCAAAATTGGATAGTATTACAGTTATATCTCACGTTAGTTCACGACATCATAGCAATCAGCTCACTCAATCGTTTACGAAATTGAATACGTTTATTAAGCTATGTTGTTTGATATGTCACTTTTAAACGTTTTAATTGAGTTTCAGATGTTCATCCGATGATGTTCAATCAATAATATTGCAAGTTTTACACTCAAATTCTTCATGGTTAAACATGAGAATCATTAAATTCTAATTTGATTGTTCCAGTGCATTGTTCTAGCACTTATGTAAATTTTTATGATGAAGTTAAAGTGATTTCAAAATATGAAGTTTTATTGAAACAATTACTGAATGATATGTGTTTCTTGGTGGTTTCGCCAGCTGATATCGATCGTTGACAAAAACAATCTAGGGATTTATCCAAACTCGACAAAATTTGATTCGAAGTTAGTTTATTTGAATTTAAAATTCACATCTGAATATGCTGTACATTGATCTCTAATTAATTACCATCTAGGTAGTGTTTTTCATGAACTATATGACATGTACCTAGGTACAATATATATTTATGGTGAAGATAAGGAAAACTAACGATTGCTCTATGTTAATTGATTAAGAAAATAAAATTGTTAGCGTTTAAGTCGATGCATCAGAATGCACCTTAATTTCTCGAAAAAAAATGTTCACATTATTATTTCATTATTGCTTATAATATTAGACCATTGATAATAAATATTATGGTAATATATTAGCAATTATGTTAAATCATTAGTTTACTGGTGGTTTGTGAATTCAGTTAATGTGTTGTCTCATAGGCTATGAAAATAATAACGAGTAAAAGCGTAAAATGGGACCAGTAAGCATTACCTCAGATAATGTACGTTTGTGACAGTTTGTTTTGAATATATTTAGTTCAACTGTTTCTGTTGCAATGAAATGCATATATAATTCGCAAGACTTTTGTTGTTGCTGTTTTGTATCCCTTAAATCGAACAACTAGCCAGTAAGTTTAGTTTTGTCGAGATCTATTCCTTATGTACCAGTGTGACTTACTCGATGAACTACTCTAGTGAAGGTTTGGTAATTATATTCAAAGAGCCTCCAAGTGTCGTGGTACGGCCGAAATTGAGGACAGTTCGCTTTCCCTGAAAAGGTTATATTTGGTTAACACTGTAAGCGCAGTCCAGTGAACTTCACTTCAGTGATTTCATGATGGTATATTCTCCGCGCTACCTTAGTATAGCGGTTATCAGGTATGGTAACAATCCTAGTCCTGTATGACTTCAGTCGACTCGTAAATACCCTGGGTTCAATTTTTAGTGTTATGAAACAGAGTCACACGTAACAAAGAAGCAACTACTCGACGTTATCTAAATCAATTGCTTTCCAACTGGTTAGTTCGTAGAAAAAAAAAATTTAATGATAACAGTGATTGTTATGTAAGAACAAAACCAGTCTGTATTGTCTAGATAGCTGATCGTACAAGATATTGTATTGCAGAATATAACTTTCAGATATTAGAAGTTTTGTATTAAATAAACTCCTTTTTTAATGGATAGTTTAGCTTCTAATAACTACTCTTTAGCTTAGTTAAGTTAGTCCATTCTTTAGTGAAATTTTTATCAAATCGATTTTACATTTGATGACTTAATTATTGTCAATATTTGTTGATTTACACACTGGATAGTTTGGTTTCTAAAATCAAATAAATAACTTGACGAGCCACTGTATAGTTGATTGATATGAGGTAGTAAGTTTCAAGTGTTCGGTTTCCAGGATAGAGATTTTGTTCAGTTTGATTTAATCTAACTTTATGTACAGTATCTTTAATCGTTTGTGCTGTGTTTGATTATGCATTCGGTCAATTTTGCTAAAAGGGATTTCACAACCTGTCTTTTTAAAAATCTATTTTTCTGTCAATATATATGCATGAAGTGAATGATTTCATTATTGAGCATTAAATAAGGCGCTTTTTGTCACTTTCTGTGATTAATAATCTATAGTCTATCATCGTTTTTAAAACTTGATGCAACTATAGAGAATAGAAATAATTTTAATCAGTGTATTTACCGATTTATTAACAATATAATAATAGATTAAAATCAAAATCCGGATTACAGTAAAAAGAAAATCATGCATGAAAAGAATGTTACATGAAGAGCATAGCTAAGTGAAAAAAGATTTCTGCTAATATAATGCATTTATAAGCACAATAAGCTTTAAACACATGACCATAAACAACTAATCTTTATGCAAAGTCCTACTATTATCTTCAAGGGGAAATATAATAACAAACTTTATCAAAATGGATTATTCATTTAGCGTAACAGAACGAAGAAGAATGAAATGAAGGAGTGAATCCGAATTTTTAGTTTTGAAATAATCTTATTGATATTCTATCATATTTCTCTTTTGAATGATGACGTAAATATAACGCATCTGGTATCAGTTCAAGGTTTTATAATCCGAGGAATTCACGATCTTCTGGGCACAAAATATAAGGTTCCTATAAATGAAATAAAGGTATAGTTTATTGTCATTATTTCTTTATATAATAATCAATTGTCTACCACACCGTTTGACTGATAAGTTCATCAATATGTAGTCAAATATTCCAGATGAAAGTTAAACTACATGTATTATGTTTGAAATAATAATAAAAATAATAATAGTAATAATGAACTTTAAATTTTGTTGATCATTACATCAATTAACTACTGTAATAATTCACAACGAATACATCCTGTGATAACAATAATGACTTCAAAAAAATATGATATATTAGTGCATTAGTCCATAATTAGAATAAGTTGACCGTATATTAATTTAGATCAATGAGGTCAAAATTTTATGACACAAAAAATATTATGAAAGCCTAATTTAGACTGAATAACACATTTCCTTATGGGATTGGAATAGATAGGTCTTCGGTGGCAGCCTTCTTTTCTAATATTTCGACCCAGTAAACGCTGTTAACGTGTTTCTTTGACTCAGTAAATGATTAATAAGTGATTGGATGTTTTAGTTTGTTTGATTTCTCTGAACAGTCAGTTTAATTTATTAATTGTTGATTTCAAGTTTAACATGGATAGTGTCACATCCATGGGTCAGTTTAATCAACATACCGTTATTTTAACACATGAACCCCAAAACATTTATTCAGAGGATAAAACCTTGAGATACATGAAAGGCTATATTGTTAAACTGAACTAACAGGAACTCGTAAGATTTAAGTCCAGCTTGATGGATAGATCATGTATTTATAATAATCAGTTCACAGTTACCGCCTACTTATCGTATGGTCACGAAATAGTAGGTACAAATTTGTCTAGTTTCAGAGAATTTATTGGATAAAAATAAAAGCAAGTTTTATTACAAATGCTTCAGTAATGAATACATTGATCTTTTGGCAATTGATCAATCTCAAGACAATAAAATCAGTTTCATTTTATTACAATATCAACATGTAATAAATCTGTTTAAAATAATGGAATTAAAATGACATTCAATTAAAAAGCCTATGGTTTTTCAAAAGATTATCTTCATAAATTGTCCATTTCTTATTTAAACTTATCCAATCGGTTATTTGGACAATTATTGTTTTATTTGATGAAAATCATTCATTAATTTACCAGTAGTATATGAAATTAAATAAAATAACATACGTATTCCTTTCTATTCACGAAAGTCAATAATTATATAGGTTAAATAATGTCTGCTGTATTAATTTAATTGATTGATGATGATCATACGGTTTGTTAAAGTAATCCAGCAACAATTACAGTCCAATTAGAGCTTTCTTTTTTCAAGTTTATTAGAAAAAAAATAAAATATTCGAATCATTCCAGTGTCATCATTGCCAATAAGTATTCTAAGGTCAGTCGGAATTTTGAAATTTCATAACGGTCGGCACAATAGAAAATTACAGTTATTTTATAAAATAATAATATATCTAGTGGTACGTATATATACATATATATATATATAAATGGAATTCATTACAATGTTAGGAATACACTATTTATTTATTTCTCATGGGGATTTTTTTATTCGCCGTACATTACATTGATGGAAATGAATTGTACCAAAAAAATAATTTTGTTTCACAATACATGAAAATAATTTGGAAAATATAAAATTATTATCAATAATAATAATAATAATAATAATAATATATATAATCCTATGTGTATTGTTGGTATTTATTGATTTATGCATTATTTAATTTGTTCATACTGAAAGATTTGTTCATTGTAGAAATGTAGTTCAAGTCATGAATTGGTGGCACTAATCAGTAGATTTAATAAGGAGAAAGTAGTTAGTATTGAACAACAGTCTTCATCATCATCTAACTTTTGAACTATTCTACTGTGTATATTACATCGGTAACTGCATAGGTGGTTAGATGTGACAATTAATCAGGCTTAGAAAAGAGCAGTTATTTAATCAATCAATTGACAAAGCCGTAAAATTTTCAAGGCGTTTTTATAAAGGATGATAATTTTGATTCACTTAGTCGAAATCCTATACTTGCCATTGTCCGGATGAAGTATGATCATCACACATTCCCAGTGGTTAAAATTAACTGTCATTCTCTTAAAATGACTTAATCAGAACGTTAACTCATCAGTGACATTATTTAGGTGTTGTGTTGTTAAATTTAAAAGTGCATTTTGATGATCAAAAAGTTTCCTGATTTAATTTGTTGAGGTTTCGATAATCACTTAAAATGAATTGATCCAACACATTGTATAAATTGATTATTCTGTTTATGAATGACATATCGATTGATAATTTTTTTAAATAATGAAAAATGAAATAGCAAAATGAAGCAATTCTGATAGACGATATATAGCTCAGTGTTCAGTTTCATTATTCTATAATTTAACAATAATGAAATTATTTTGTTATCACTTAATTTTCGAATTGTTTAATGGATTTTTATCCCAAGTATATTTGCCAATTTCATTAACAATACATGAAGCAGTACCTACGAAGTGTTCACTTGATAGCTTCAAATGATTCACATGGTCGAAGAACGTCTGTTTGAAATTTGTTGAAAGTAAAACGAGTTGAGAATTGTTGTTCTATCATAATAAATAAGCTATTGTGTGTGGATAAATCATGAACCCTATATTGATTGAGTTGTGAAACTTAAACCTCCAAAATACTGAAATTTCATGCAAAAGACTGAAGTAAAATCCAGTGGTTCATATTTTTAATCCACAGTGATAAACTTTTCAAAAATCCTTCTGTACATAAATAAGTCACTGACTTAAATTAGGCGTTACACATTGGCTATATCGAAGTGAGAAGAAAACTAAACCTACTTTGTTTAATTCCCTTGTGAATATAATGTTTTCAAATTCTCTAAAAGGTTTTAACTTGTAACCACGATTATAAATCCTCAAACTGGATTCGATTGAATCTAATATTTCATAAATATGGTAATGTTTAATCATGTCACCATCATTTCAGTTAAACCAGTTTACTGTCGAAACTATTTCCAATTTCATTTCCTTCTGAACCGAAGACTTCGGTACCGTCCAATCCACAGTGTATTCTCTTACATAAGAAAAATTACCATTATTTAAAGTTTGGGTTTTTAAGACTCTCTTCTAACTTTTTATAATGATTCCAAGTCCAAAAATTGACAGAGTAACCAATATATATATATATATATATATATATATATATATATATATATATATATTATTAAAATATGAAACTTACTCTAAAAATAACTCGTTTAACACTGTCTGGAATGCGTAGACATCCTTCAGATTTTTTAAGTCGAAAGAAATGATAAGTTTTCTTTTCGAAGTTGAAATCATTTGCACTTTCTGCGTCTTAAAAATGGAGAATGACAAAAATGCAACCAGTCAATACAAAGATAATTACAATAAAAAGAAACAGTTTGTATATTTTTAATATTATAAACGTTGAATACAGGTCGAAATATGTGATTCGCTTAGTCAATTAAGGTGAAAACGATAGGGGAACGTCTAAAAAATATTCGATAATAATTGTACTATATCATATACTGATTTAAAATTATCCACATTTTGAGTCCTTTTTAATGAACCTCGAAGTCGAACTATAAAATGATATTAACTAACAACTGAGTTTGACATGGGTTTCTGATGTCCTTACGAGAAATTGTGAGGTAGTTACCTATTACTGTGAATGAATGACTCTCTCACATTATCAGAAGCCGACACACGTTTTAGACTATTGAACTCTGTTTATGTAATTTAAAGGCAACTACCTTATTACGCTGTTGGTCGAGTCATTGGTTGGGTACTAGATGAATCCCAAAAGTTGGAGGCTTTTATGCCGAACATGTGATATGTTCATATATTCACTATGTCCAGACCTGGAAGCCAACTGTTTGATTTCGTTTGGGTTTGTTTCGCACTGTTACGTATCTGTAAAACCATAACAAGGTAACCAATAAGGTTCCTCATATAGTCATCGATTTTTCAACTGATGCCAATAACTGGTTGCAACAACTAGCAGTTATATCAAAATTTCATAAATCATTTCAGTCAGACAGGTTAATTCGAAAAGTGTAAGGTTCTTCATATTCATGAAAATAAAAGCAGTATTTACTCACTCAAACAGAATTACATCATATTTACGAAGAAATTGTTATGTCAATAAGACATCTTTAGATGTATAATATATAACTATAATTGTCATTTTTATTCCACTAAATTTTGATTCTGAGTATTCATTGATAGGAAGGAATGTGAATTAAAACTTGGTCAAGAAGCAGATAAAGAATGTGTGAATTCAGAAGGCAAATTATTTTAAGACCTACCGAATAATCCATTGTATTTTGAACACGTAGTTATCTGTATCCCTTTAACGAACTAGATCAGTTAAATTATGAGTAATTTGTGAAACTACTCTTTTAACCCTGAGTATCTATAAATCCTATGCTAGAATGGGTTACTAATGGCTTATTATTACCCATCTTTTATAATCAGTGTTTTGGGGACATTTTTGTTTAACTGAAACACCCTTATTTCACTATCATTTAAGTGCTATAAAATTTGATTTCATATCCGATCGACAACATCTTTTAACCACTTCATTAATCGTTTGTACATATTTTCACAGATATACCGAATTCCCATAATTATTTAATAAGACACCACTTGAGTGATGTCGATTTTATTATTATTGACGGTGAACCTAAAGATTAATGCAGTGTAATGATAAAAACTTACTTCAAGAAGATATAATTCTTCTGTTGATAAGATATTTAAAATAAGCCCACATCACGCTAATCATACTGGCATAGAGTGAGTGAAGGATATTTCAGGGAGAATTACCAAGTCATCTGAACACCAACATGTCATCGCAATATGGTACCGACGAGAACTTTGGTGACATTTTCTCTGTGGCGTTGAACTGCGAGAATGATTGAATATTAGTCGAATATCACTTAACACTTACGTAAGACTTTGTAATTATATGGTACACAGTTACACGAGTAATATATAGAGAGGAAAGATTTCTAATTTAAATTCATCACTCATGCTTTCAAGTTTTATATAACATCTTTTATTAGATCATTACTTCTTGACAGAAATTTTCACACAGATCTGCTATGAGCTTTGTAGTTTGTTGATCAACTTTGGAAGTTAGTAAGTGTGCTGACTGATCTTATCAATATTATTAGAAGTGTATACAAACATTTATTAGTATCATCTCAAATTAATAATTTGCATGTTTTCAAATTTGTAATATCAAAGTTAGAATTACATCAAGCAATTATTTCTACTTACGATTCAGTAACAATCAAATTCAAAACTTGTACATTTAGACACATACACACCGTAGGATATAGGCGGGACACAACTTCGAGTCATATGTCCTGACTGAAAATTGAACAATAACTGAATACTGAGGAAGAATCCAGTAGAGTAGTTACCCTCAGTCAGTCCGGTACATGCTGCGAGAATCATCAAGCTTCATAAGTAATAAAACAGTCTTTTCACTGGAAAATGAAGACCTTTATAGATCCAATTGGCTGAAAGAACTTTCTTCGAATAAAAAGAAGCAAAAGAGCAAGTGAAGCGTATCATCAGTGATGATAAATGGAAATATGTCGAACAGCTAGCAGTGACGGCGGAAAAGGCTGCAAGAGAAGGAAACAAGAGACAATTGTACGATACAACAAAGAAGCTCGCTGGAAACTATCGTAAACCAGAACGACCAGTGGAAAGCAAGGAACGCAAAGTAATCAGCAACATTGAAGAACAGACAAATAAGTGGGTAGAGCACTTTAACAAACTCTTGACTCGACCAGCCCAACTGAACCCATCAAATATCAAAGCAGCAACCACAGACCTCCCAATCAATGTTGGCGCACAAACAATTAGGAGATCAGCATGGCCATCGGACAAATCAAGAGCGACAAGTCAGCGAGGCCAGACAACATTCCAGCAGAGACAATGAAAGCAGATGTGGCAGCTGCTGCAGAGAAGCTCAACATTCTGTTCAGCAAGATCTGGGATGAAGAACAAGTACTAACAGACTGGAAAGAAGGATACCTCATCGAAATACCAATGAGAGGCGATCTCAGCAAGTGTGAGAACTACAGAGGCATCACTCTTCTCTCAATAGCAGGCAACGTCTTCAACAGGGTGTTGTTAAACACAATGAAGGACTTCGTTGACGCCCATCTTCAAGATCAACGGGCTAGATTCCGTAAGGATCGATCGTGTAACCAACCGAATTGCAACATTGCGGATCATTGTGGAACAATCAGTTGAATGGAACTCACCACTCTACATCAACTTGATTGACTTTAAGAAAGCGTTTGACAGTGTAGACAGGACAATACTATGAAGGCTTCTTCGACACTACGGCATTCCTGAGAAAATATACAACATCATCCGGAATTCTTAGGATAGATTAAACTACGGAATCGTGCTAGAGGACAAACTGACAGACTCGATTGAGTTGAACACCGATGTCAGGCAAGGTTGCTTACTCTCACCCTTTCTCTTTCTCCTGGTGACCGACTGGATTACGTAAACGTCAACATCTGGAGGGAATTGCGGGATACAATGGACAACTAGGACTCAGATGGACGATCTGCACTTCACAAATAATCTAGCCCTTTCAACACGCACGCAACAACAAATGCATGAGAAGACGACCAGTGTAGCAGCAGCCTCAGCAACAGCAGGTCTCAACATACACGAAGGGAAAAGCAAGATTCTCAGATACAACACAGCATGCGCCAACCAAGTCACTCTTGATGAGGATGCCTTGGAAGACGTAAAAACCTTTACATATCTGGGTAACATCATTTACGGGTAAGGTGGATCTGATGCGGATGTGAAGGCCCAGGTTGGCAAGTCAAGGGGTTGCGTTTTTACAGTTGAACAACATCTGGAACTAAAAACAACTATCAACCAACACCAAAGTCAGAATTCTCATTACAACTGTCAAGAAAGTCCAACGTTATGGGGAGGAAACCTGGAAAACTAAAAAAGCCATCATCCACAAGATACAAGTATTTGTTAACAGTTGTCTATACAAAATACTCCTGATCCGTTGGCTAGACAACATCAGCAACAACCTACTGTGGGAGAGAACAAACCAGATTCTCGCGGTGGAGGAAATCAAGAAGGAACTTTGGAAGTGGATTGGACATATATTGCGGAAAGCACCCGACCGCTTCACAAGACAAGCCCTAACTTGGAACTATCAAGGACAATGGAAAACATGAAGGTGAAGAAACGCATTATGGAACTCTTCTTCACAATCATTTATACATAATTTTTATAGATTATTTACTACCTGCTATAATGTCGCTTATTTTTATGCGTTGTTGGTACATGTGCGTTATATCAGCACTTATAAAAACTTATTATAATGCTTAAAAGTATTTCATTTTATGCCAAAGAAGATTTTCTTGCTAACTCTGGAAGTGGATTGGACATACATTACGGAGAGCACCCGACCGCTTCACCAGACAAGCCCTAACTTGGAACTTTCAAGGACAAAGGAAAACAGGAAGGCCGAACAACACATAACGCCAAGAATCAGCAAGAGATATGAGAAGAACTAATAACTGAAGCAGAAAGGAATGTCCAGGAAGGTGTGGCTATTAGAATACTGGTCGGCAGCCTATGTTCCCTTTGGGGTGACAGGAGTAAGTGAGTAATTAATTTTAACTCCAAGATTTTTATGTAAATAATGGAGCATAAGGTTTTAAGTTCGTTCCAGTTGGTACTTTGTTGAGATGCATATTTTATATTTCAGGGGATACAGATATATTAGACTCGATACTTTCTATTAGCTGCATTTAGCTACCAAAAATAGATAAATATATATGTCTTGGAAACAAAACAGACTGACCTTTTGAATTTAGCATGTGACTAAGGTGAATGTTATTTATTACTTTAAAAATGACAGTGTATATTTTGAAATAAAATATAATTTTAATAGTTAGACAAGTACTAGAATATACTTTTAATAAAACTCTTTGAATTAGTTTTTGTTATTTTAACGAAAAAGATTTTAGATTTTATAATATTCAAGATTTATCATTCTCAATTTCAGGTGATTTTCTGAAAATAAAATTCGCATTCGATGTTCTGATCAATGGGACGTTAAGTAATTGGGACTGGCTTTAAAAATGGTATTCTTCAAGTGCCAAATGAATTTTTGAGAATTAAGTGAAAACCAAAGGTCACTTAAAATTATACAAACAATTTACCAGGTATGTGTTTTTATATACTAGGTATCCCAAGTTTCGCAATGCTGACCATTTGGTAATAGTTGTCTGAAAGCATTCATTTGTAGACCTTCGACCAGTAGTTGTGCTAGTAATTAAGACCGTTGGTGGATTCAAACTGTTTATGTCCAGTTTCCTAGTCTAAGACATACCAATGGGCTGTTTCAGCTTAAATTTATCTCTTGTCAGACTGAGGTACTTAAGTTAATTAGTAACTGATTAGCAACCAATTTTCTTGTTTGTCTAGTAACTTATTACTGAATGAAATCTACCGATCGGCTCACATTCGTATTACTATTCTTAACGGTTAAGAGTAGTCGCCAAGAAATCATGCACCTAGATGTTTTTGCAGTTCGGTGATGACAAACATGACATTCATCAGTCAGTCGTTATACACTAACTGTGTACCCGAAATCAAAGCAGATAGTTTGAGGTTTCAAATATGCCATCTGATGGTCGAAAGCAAAATGCTTTAATCACTGAGTCACTAACCCCAATTTTCTGGTTAAAATTACTTCCGAAAGGCGTCCATTGTTCTAAAGGTTCATTGTTCGCTGTAAATTTCTTCAGTACATGGATATTTTTGCAAACTTTTTGTCAGCTTTCGTCGAAATTTTTCATTCGCCATTCAGTGGATTTCCCTACAAGGTATTTTATAGTATAAAAACGCCCTAATGAAATAACCAACGGCTAGAATGGAGGAAGAAGTAAAAGTATTCTTTGTTCAAACGAACAAACCCTTTTAATACATGTATGATGAGGACTAAAAAATCTTAGAGCAGTATGTAGTTCCCTAGAAAAATGAGTAAAACTTTCAATACTATCTCTGACTTCCATAAAATTTGAATGTCATCATTTTGGGATTCAGTGATAGAATAAATTGTTTTTCAACCCTTCAGAAAAATACATACATTTCGAATGACTTTTAATTCCATTAACTGATAAATCTATTTTTTATAGTTTCTTTAAAACAATACAGTAACCATTTTGGTGTCGATTCTCTGATTTGGTTCATAAGTCGTTTTGACTATGGTGAAATTGTGCAGGTCGTTGACTTAGTTTACATTACAAACAGATCTTAGTTTAACAAGCTTCACAAACAAGGAAGCATTAGAAAGCTGTAAACTATGGCAATCATCAATGTTTTATGAACAAATGAAAATAAAAATAAACTGGAACATTTACACGAATTACTCATCGAAACTTACCGATTTGTATTGATTGTAATTGAATTGAAATCAGAATAACGAATGTCAACATGGAAATCATACTAATCGACATATGCTTCATGTTTAATTATGTTAGTGTCTTCTGTTTTAAAAGTAATAAATTGGTCAAAATAATTCGTCTAGAAAAGGAAGCTTTGTTTGTTGCTGCTGATAAAGCCTTTGTCAGTGCTGTATCACAAGTTTGGGATAAAACTGATTCGTTGTCAGGTTTTTATACTTACAAGAATCAGTCTGTGTAGTCTATTCGTCTAAAATACAAACTGACCAATAGGAAAAATCTATTTTTTTTTAATGTTTCTGGGACGTGAAAAGTAACTGTCATTCAGTTCACCTGCGTTTGCTAACAAAAAACTAAGAAAACCTATTTTTTCAATGGATTAACTGACTTAACATAGAAGTCGACCAATTTTGTACATATTTTTGCTGAAGATAAAATCATTGAAAGATCGAGAAATAATCCTGAAAGATTAAAGAAAAAAGAGAGGGTAGAGGACGACAGATTATTAAAACGTTGACATGAATAAAACATTTGCACACTACAGTAAGTTTTATCTCTTATGAAAGGTTTTCATTTAACACACAACGTCCATTTATCGATCGGATATAACTGGCTTAAAATTGCTTAAAATATATTAAATATTATTCAGATTGATCTGATATTACTTACTTACTTACGCCCGTTACCCCCAATGGAGCATAGGCCGCCAACCAGTTTTCTCTAACCAACACTGTCCGACGCTTTCCTCTCCAGTTCTGTCCAATGTTTGTTCATTCCTCTCATATCTTTCTCTATTTCTCGGCGTAATGTGTTCCTTGGCCTTCCTCTTTTCCTTTTGCCTTGAGGGTTCAATGTGAGGGCTTGTTTCGTGACGCAGTTAGGTGCTTTTCGTAGTGTATGTCCTATCCACTTCCACCGCTTCTTCCTGATTTCCTCCTCCACTGGAATCTGGTTTGTTCTCTGCCACAGTACGTTGTTGCTGATGGTGTCTGGCCAACGAATCCGAAGGATTTTGCGAAGACAACTGTTCATAAATACTTGTATCTTCTGGATGATGGCTTTGGTAGTTCTCCATGTTTCCGCTCCATACAGTAGAACTGTCTTGACATTTGTACTGAAAATCCTGATTTTGGTTTTGGTTGAAAGTTGTTTGGAGTTCCAGATATTTTTCAATTGTAGAAATGCAGCCCTTGCTTTGCCAATCCTCGCCCTCACATCTGCATCGGATCCACACCTTGATTGTCAATGATGCTGCCCAGATACGTAAAAGTGTTAACGTCCACCAAGGCATCTCCTCCATCAAGAGTGAGTTGGTTGGTGCATGTTGTGTTGCATCGGAGAATTTCGCTTTTTCCTTTATGTATGTTGAGACCTACTGCTGCAGAGGCTGCTGCTACACTGGTCGTCTTCTCTTGCATTTGTTGTTGCGTGTGAGATAGAAGAGCCAGGTCATCTGCGAAGTCCAGATCGTCCAGCTGCGTCCTAGCTGTCCAGTTGATACCATGCTTCCCTCCAGGTGTTGATGTTTTCATAATGTAGTCGATCACCAGGAGAAAGAGAATGGGTGAGAGTAAGCAACCTTGCCTGACACCGGTCTTCACCTCGAAAGAGTCTGTCAGCTGACCTCCGTGCACGATTTTGCAGTTGAATCCATCATAAGAATTCCGTATGATGTTAACTATTTTCTCAGGCACACCGTAGTGTCGAAGAAGCCTTCACAGTGTTTTCCTATCCACGCTATCGAATGCTTTCTCGTAGTCGATGAAGTTGATGTAGAGTGATGAGTTCCATTTAATTGATTGTTCCACAATGATCCGTAATGTAGCCATTCGGTCAGTACACGATCGATTCTTACGAAATCCGGCCTGTTGATCTCGAAGTTGGGCGTCTACGAAGTCCTTCATTGTGTTTAACAACACCCTGTTGAAGACTTTGCCTGCTATTGAGAGAAGACTGATGCCTTTGTAGTTAGATTTCGATGGAATGGGGTCGCCAACCCCATGTCCATCCCTCCTCCTTTATCCGGGCTTGGGACCGGCAGTAGCCCTGAAGGTTCTACTAGCGGAGTTACTGATCTTATATGCTAGGATTTAAACAATATGATTTCAAATTATACATGTTTTCCTTGAATGATATTTGCGCCAATCCTGTTTTAGATAATCTTTTTCAATAAATAATACTAACTCTTCAATGGTTTACTATAAATTAAAACAGCGGGTGAAAATATCGTAAAATATACTTTTATCACAGACTGATATTATGTTATTTATATAATCTAGGTTTTTTTCTTTGAATGATCTTAAGGATTGTGCCTGACGATTGAGAGATAGCTCTTGATACTCTAAATACCTTTTAATTTGAAATAATCGTTGGTGCATTTGTTGTAAATCGTTATTAAGATTAGTTTAATTTGTGAGTATGAATTCAAATTAGTTTTACTACTTCTGAAAACTAATCAGTAGTCAACCAATGTGTCTTCCAAATATGAAATAGCTAAACGAGAACCATCACTAATCTAATCGTTGACTGAAGTCAAGACTTTTATTCTTGCACGAACTGTATCACCAGTAAATCGTTTGGTAAGAATTTAGTGATCCATTTTGAAAAAGAATCATCACTTATTAAACAAAGTAAGATTTATGAAACTATACATTCTGCTTACTGTACATAGTACCTCTACTGATTTTCAGCAAAAGACCTTGTATCAAACCGTACTCTCTGGAGTTTAGTCATTAGGTATTAAGTCATCAGCTATTGAAAGTAGACTTTTAGACTCCAAAGTTATATAGTACATATATCGATAAAATAAAACAATCATTCTAAACAAGAAACCTAGGAAGTTTGCATTTGTTGTTGCGTGCGTGTTGAAAGGGCTAGATTATTTGTGAAGTGCAGATCGTCCATCTGAGTCCTAGTTGTCCATTGTATCCCGCAATTCCCTCCAGATGTTGACGTTTACGTAATCCAGTCGGTCACCAGGAGAAAGAGAAAGGGTGAGAGTAAGCAACCTTGCCTGACATCGGTGTTCAACTCAATCGAGTCTGTCAGTTTGTCCTCTAGCACGATTCCGTAGTTTAATCTATCCTAAGAATTCCGGATGATGTTGTATATTTTCTCAGGAATGCCGTAGTGTCGAAGAAGCCTTCATAGTATTGTCCTGTCTACACTGTCAAACGCTTTCTTAAAGTCAATCAAGTTGATGTAGAGTGGTGAGTTCCATTCAACTGATTGTTCCACAATGATCCGCAATGTTGCAATTCGGTTGGTTACACGATCGATCCTTACGGAATCTAGCCCGTTGATCTTGAAGATGGGCGTCAACGAAGTCCTTCATTGTGTTTAACAACACCCTGTTGAAGACGTTGCCTGCTATTGAGAGAAGAGTGATGCCTCTGTAGTTCTCACACTTGCTGAGATCGCCTCTCATTGGTATTTCGATGAGGTATCCTTCTTTCCAGTCTGTTAGTACTTGTTCTTCATCCCAGATCTTGCTGAACAGAATGTTGAGCTTCTCTGCAGCAGCTGCCACATCTGCTTTCATTGTCTCTGCTGGAATGTTGTCTGGCCTCGCTGACTTGTCGCTCTTGATTTGTCCGATGGCCATGCTGATCTCCTAATTGTTTGTGCGCCAACATTGATTGGGAGGTCTGTGGTTGCTGCTTTGATATTTGATGGGTTCAGTTGGGCTGGTCGAGTCAAGAGTTTGTTAAAGTGCTCTACCCACTTATTTGTCTGTTCTTCAATGTTGCTGATTACTTTGCGTTCCTTGCTTTCCACTGGTCGTTCTGGTTTACGATAGTTTCCAGCGAGCTTCTTTGTTGTATCGTACAATTGTCTCTTGTTTCCTTCTCTTGCAGCCTTTTCCGCCGTCACTGCTAGCTGTTCGACATATTTCCATTTATCATCACTGATGATACGCTTCACTTGCTCGTTTGCTTGTGTGTATTCAGTTTGTGTCTTTGGTTTTCTCTGCTCTTATTCCGCAGATATTGATTGCTGCCCTCTTCCTCCTGTCTTCTGCAATTTCTTCGAGAGTACCAACAGAGATCCATTCCTTATGATGGTACTTCCTGCTACCCAGAACCTCCTGTTATTTTGAAGTAATGTTCTCTTTGATCCCTTTCCAATTTTTCTCCATGGTTGTTTCCTCTCCATTGAGTATATCGTGCAAATCCTGGAACCTAATACTTAGGGCTATCTCGAATTCGTTGAGTTTTACGGTATGCCGAAGAAACGCTGTATTAAACTTCTGTGATGTTGTATGCCCTGTGGTCTAGTGTTTCTTTAGTTTTGGTTTTATTTTGGCAACCAGCAAGTGGCGATCTGAGGCTATATCAGCTCCTCTATTGGTTGTCACACCCTCCATGGTTCTTCTGAATTTTTTATTGATACAGATATTGTCGATTTGGTTCTGAATATTATGACTCGGTGAAATCCATACGGCTTTGTGCATGCGTATATGTGAGAACGTTGTGTCGCCGATGACCAGTTTGTTGAAGGCACAAAGGTTTTCCACTCTCTCCCTATTTTCGTTTTTTCTCCCAGTCCATGTTGTCCCATGATGTCTTGGTATGCGGTATTGTCCTTGGCAACCTTGGCATGTAGGTCTCCCATCAGAATGATCGAATCTGTTGATGACTGACTGAAGTCTGTCGTGGAAATCTTCTTCATCATCTTCATGGTTAACGTTAGATGACGATCACTGTAAAACTCTATCTCTTTTTTTGAAGGATTCCGTGATGATCCTGGGTTTATGAGATTTCCATCCCGTAAATTCTATCTGTCTTATTCGGACAGCAATAATGCAACTACCCGTCTATATGGAGAATTTTCTTCTTCATGGTCGGAGTATAACAGCATCTCTCCTGAAGCTAGTCTAAGTTGTCCAATCTGCATCCAGTGTGTTTCAGTGATCTCAAGTACCACCATGTTGTATCGTCTCATTTCGGCAGCAACCTGAAAGACTCTTCCGGTCTTTGATTTCATACATCTAAATTAACTGTTGTTCTAGTTGCCAGAAGGTGCCTTGTTCTCGCGACTTCCGAAGGAACTCA